CTCCATAATAGGATCACTGATTCTAATAAGAACCCGAAGGAAAACCATCAACAGCATGAGCCTTAAAGCTACCAATATTGAAAAGGCTTTCTTTCACTTCTAGAGGAGTAACATTTATATTTAAAGAGGCACAATCATCAGGACAAATAATAGCTAAAAGACTAGAAAGACCTCTGACCTGACGAGAATACTGACCATGAGAAAACAACTTTTGAAAATAAGCGATAGCAGTAGCCTTTATGCCTTCAGTATCTTCCACCCACACCCCATGATCAATTTTCAGACCTTCAATTATATTCCTTCTCCTCCGAATGATAGTGGCAAGTTGGAAAAATTTAGTATTCGTATCACCTTCCTACAACCACTTTAGTCTAGATTTTTTATGCCAAAAAATTGCTTTTTGCGCCAGGAGCTCATTGAACTCCGCAATCAACTTATCTTCCAAATTACTAAGATAAACATTAGGACTATTACATAACACCTTCTGAATACCTTCCAACCTAGTAAGGAGCCTGTTTTTCTTCTGTCTTAGATGACCAAACACCTTATAATTCCACATTTTTAAAGGAACAACCAGAGTACAAGTTTTGTCCACAGCAGACCCACAAGAATTCTCCCAAATATTAGAAACTTACTCACAAATATTCTCATGTTTGACCCACATTGCTTCAAACCAAAAGACCTCAAAGAAGTAGAAGACATGAAACCAAACTTCAAGCATATCTTAATAAGGCAGTGATCAAATTTCGTGTTGGGTAAATGCCAAAGATAAGCTTAGGATATAAACTTCGCCCTAAATTACAAATAGCTCTGTCAATTCTTTCAAATATTTTTTTATTGGTCTAAGTGTATTTGGGACGAGTAAAATCCAAGTCAATCATACCATGATTATTCACCCACCTTTTAAACCCCTTTAATCTGCACAGAGGAGCAACCCCAATTTTATCATTAATACTCAACATATCATTAAAGTCCCCTGCAAGCAACCAAGGCATTTGATGGCATTCAGCAACAAAATCCAAATACTCCCACAACCTATCCCTTTTAGCAACACAAGGACTAGCATAAATTGCAGTGAATATCCAAGAAGCTTTTCCATAACTTTGAACACAAACAAAAATAGACTGATCAAAAGTACTAATCAAATCGATTTAAACCTTTTTATCATCCCACAGTAACCACAACCCTCCAGAGAAACCAACAGCATCCACAATCTCATAATAGGAATATCTCAAAGATTTCACAACAAACAAAGCTTTATTACCACTAATTCGTGGCCCACACACAAACAACATCTTCATACGATGATTATGAATTAAATTTTGCATATTGGTAGAAAATTGAGTGCATCCTGCACCTCTAGCATTCCAACACACGATATTCATCATAAATAAAATCAAGAAAAGATAAGACAAAAGGCCTAAGCCCATCAAAGACCGAGAGGTATACCTTCAACATTGTTGAAGGCAAAACCTAACAAATTCCCACCTAGAATGCATTGTTGACCATCCGTCAAATCCATAATCTCACTTTGATCTAATCCCTCACACAATTCCTCATCATTAGAAACAGAATGATCCAAGATATTAGGGGGTTGATGACAGAAGATAAACACCCATTTCTCTTTAGAAACATGCTGACCACTAGCCCACCTAGCATCTTGACGACAGGGCCAGGATCATCAACCTTCTTTCCATCAATATTCATTTCCCTATTCATAGCAAGAGCCCCCTTATTAAATTTCATTTTTTTCACAACCATCTTAGGACTTGCATCAACAGTAGAGTTAGCAACCACATTTTTATTAGAGATATCATTAATAATTGGTCGAACCTCGTTCCTTTTAGCACAATGCCAACCCTATTGATATGCAAACTCTATACCAAAATAATTGCTGATAATTCTACCAAAAAAAAGTTGCAATGACCAATCCCTTGGCAGACACTACCAAGGGACTGACCATGACAATCTAAAAAAACTATGCAACAAGCAGCAGAACCAGGATTTTCTTTAAACAAACCATTTGTATCAAGTTTAATCCAAAGAAACCAAGGGGAAGACCAAAACACACGAAGAATAGTTGGCACCTTACAAGGGATAGGTGGGATCATTAGAGAAGAAATGATACAAAAGTCAAAACCCAGAGAATAACCAAGAATAAACTTCCTACCATGAACAATCCCATAATTGATGGACATGCAAAGATGATAAAAATAGATTGGGTGACCCTCGAAAATAAACTATTTTAAGCTTTCCATAGTAGAAAGGCCCACAAAAATCTAGAGATTGTGCAACTGTTGGGAAAAAGGCTTACGTACATAGGCATCCCAAAAAATAGCCAATGAATCTGAAAATGGCAAAGATGTACCAAATTGATATGCTAACCACCTCTAAAGCTACCTAGGTATCTGGCACCCGAAGAAAAGATGAAAAGTAGATTCCTCAAAGCTATGACATAAACAACAAATGGATGCCAGAGAAATTCCACGTCTTTGTAATGCACCTTCGGTAGGAAGTTTATCATGAAAGCCGCCAAGCCAAAATAGACAGTTAAGGCGGAATAAAATGTCCCCAAATAACCTTGGCCCAAGTACAATCTCTACATTTTTTCCGAAATTTCAAATTCGTGTTTACAGTAATTAATTATTTCATTAAATCCACCATCATACTACAAGCAAAAGATTGCCCGTCAAAATTGCTCAAAGCTGATCATTTCAATAGTGAATACACTCAATAATAGAATAGTCATTTGTAACACTAAAATAATGGGTCTTGAACTTCGCAAACGCTCTAGCAATTCTAAACCTCTCTTTAATAAATATACCATCAGTAAAACCAAAATCAGCATACTTCAAGTTCACATACCCTAGCTTGCTATCGTCATAGACTTATGACACATAGAGCCCCTGCACGTTTCTAATCACTTTAGAAGTGCGCTCGAGGCCTTTTGGAAGCAGATTGTAGATGGCCCACATGCTGCTACATGGCGTGGGCGACTTGTTGTATTTCGGTTTTACTAAGGATAAATTTAAGGGGAGCTCTTTCAACGTGTTTTCGCGAACTCCAATGATAGACGAGGAGGCCGATTGAGAGGTGACGATTGTGGGAGGCAGATGGAGGTTTAGAATGGCTAGAAAGTTTGTGAAGTTCAAGACCCATTATTTTAATGTTACCAATGATGATTTTAACATTGAGGATAATGTCTCTCTCTTTCACCATTAAAATGAGCATTGAGTAATGTTGAAGGGCAATATTTTGGAGTAATTAATAACAATTAAACCAAAGTCGATGTAGACCGTAAAGTGTTTGGACTTGATTCCTTAGCGAAGCTTGAAGTGTTTGGACATATTTGACAACACCATCTAATGTAAAGCCCGTTAGCTATATGAGAGTGTTCGTAAGGAAGCGTAATGAGTGTGTTGCAAAGCACGCCTTGTGGCTCAAGGCTTCTCTCAACACCCTTTAATGTCAATGTAGACCGTAAAGTGTTTGGAATTGATTCCTTAGCGAAGCTTGAAGTGTTTGGACATATTAATTAACAACGCCATCTAATGTAAAGCCCATTGGCTACATGTGGGTGTTCGTAAGGAAGCGTAATGAGTGCATTACAAAGCACGCCTTGTGGTGCAAGGCTTCTCTCAATGCCCTGTAGTTGAATACAAGGATGTCATAACGTTCTGCTACCTTATCAGTCTAATAGCTTCCAAGAAACTAAGTATGTAGCTCATGGACGTGGTCATAGCACATCTCTATGGGGATCTAGATAGTATGAAAGTTCTTGAAAGACTTGCATTGACTGGTTCAAAAAGTTTACAACCAAGGGAAACTTTTTCTATTTGATTTAGACGTTTGGTATGAATTAAAGCAATCCAGACGAATGTGATATAACCATCTTAGAGAGGATTTGATTAGTCATGGATATGTGAATAACAACTTATGCCCTTTCATGTTCATTAAGAAGTCATATCCTGAATTTGCGAGTGTTGTAGTCTTAGTTGATGAGATGAATCTCATTGGAACTCTAGAGGAGCTTGAAAAAATTTCTCACATATGTAGTCAGAATTTAAGATGAAGGATCTTGGAAAAAAAAACTCAATACTGTCTTAGCCTGGAGATAGAGCGTTGTTCGGATGGTATTCTGTTCCACCAATTGAACTACATCCAAAAGGTGTTGGCCACGATAACAAGGATAAAGCAAAGCTTTTGAGTACTCCCATGGTTGTCCGAACTCTAGATGCAAAACAAGATCAATTTTGTCCTAAAGATGAGGATGAAGAGATATTGAAACCTAGAGTTCCTTACCTAAGTGCAAGCTTTATGATGAACTTTCTTGCCTTACAAGTAACGATGATCAGATATATTGATATATTGATAATTTGAACTAAAAATGAATAGGCAAAAAGTGGTTTCACCTCTAATGGATAAGAACAATCAATCTAAAACAAAACAAAATAATATATCAGAACATGGACTGCTCATATCAGATTAGAATGTGAATAATGCTAAACCATGTTTTGCATTGAAAGACTAAACATCATTTAATCATTTAAACTATTATGCAAGGCTTTAGGGCTGGTTTGATATTGTTGTGCTTTGAAAAAAAAACTGATTATGCTGTGCTGTGAGAATAAGCGGCTGTGAAATAAAGTTGTAGAGTGTTTGGTAAACGTTTTTGTAAAAATGCTTTTGAAAAAAAAAAAAAAAGCAGTATTATAGTGTTTGGTAAACTTTTTTGTAAAACAGATGTGAAAAAAAAACCAGTTTTTCAAAGCTGGGTTTTGCATCTTCTTGTTTTTTGCTTTTTTCACCCAAAACTGTGAAAAAAAGCTGAAGCTGAATGTTTACCAAACACAAAAAAATACCAGCTTTTTTCAGAATCATCTCAGTACCAAACCAGGCCTTAGTTTCGTGGACAACACATATCGAGTGACATGAGAGCATGTATAGATGTTGGGTTGCACATATGAATAGCCGTTTAGTAAAATGATATCTTCATTAAATTCTTTAATGTGGAATGCTCTTAGCTCATTTATAGATATTACAATACATCACCGTTCACGATTCGAAAACAATAACTCTAAAGCTTCAAGGCAGAAATGTAGGAGCCTTTCTAACTTTAGTAGCTTGCTCAAAGCCATAGGCAATCTGTATAAGCTTTGGCTCAGAACCCTTCAGTCCCCCAAATGTTATCCCAAAAGGTACACCCTTCTTGTCAAACCCAGCAGGGACACTGATTCCTGGGAATCCCCCAATTGCAAGCACGGGTGAAACATCTGAACCAGGAGTCACCAATGAATCTAACCTGTTGTCCTTCAACAATTTCTCAAATCCATCCTTTGTCAGCTTTGCCAAATTCAACAATGCTGCCTTTTCATTGTTACCTATCCCATTTGTTGCTTGGGCTGCAAGAAAAATATCTTGCCCAAATTCCTTGATCATTTCCTGGAAAATCAATCAAAGCATAATGGTAACCATTTAGGAAAGGCTTGAGTAAGTCTACGTCGGTGAAGGAAAATTCTTGGCTCCATACGTATATGAAGTCATTCCTCCTTAATGTAAGGATAAATGACTTTTTACATGTAAAGAGCCAAAAAAAACAAAAAACAAAAATGTACGTCTTTACTTACCACACCCGAGAACTTGAGGTTGAAGGCAATTACATCTGCTAAAGATCGAGCCGGAGATACTACTAGGTCTTTTAAATACGCATTCAAGGCTAGTTTGAACTCAGCCAGTGAAGCTATGGCTTCCCCACTCAAATTGAAGTTCAATATAACATCAATGTTAGCTATTTCTAGATGGTCTACCAATACAGCACCTTCTTGCCTGCAATTTTGCAAAAACAACAGGGTTCTTCAGAAATAAGCTCCTCGAAGGCTAACGGGTTGATAGAATAGCAGTTGGGAAGAGCAAATGTTTTTACCTTAGAGTCTTGAAATGTTTCTCAAACGATTTAAGTTGGAGAGATCCGCTGCCAGAAGTGAAGAACGGATTCCTGACGATTCCCAATCTCTTACCTTTGAGTCCATATCTCTGAAGGAATTGTTTATAGCCACCACGCGGAATGTACTTGGACGCCTCTCGGGTTGCTTGATCGTTGTAGTCATAGCCTACAATGGCGTCAAGAACATCAACCGCGTCTGACACTGTCCTTGTGATGGGTCTGATACAATCAAACACAACGCGATTCATTAGTAACCGTTGCCAAATATTGTTGAAACAAGTAATGAACATTACACTTGCAAAATATATTTTATGACATCTGATTATCTATCATATACTCCAATTTTATTGCTGATTAATTAACATAATTACCCAATGGTGTCCTGTCTGGGAGTTACCGGGATCACCCCAGCACGGCTGGTGAGACCAACGGTTGGTTTGATGCCCACTACAGAGTTGAAACTTGCCGGACAAAGTATTGAGCCATCAGTCTCAGTCCCCAGAGTTACTGCTACCAAATTTGCCGCAGCTGAAATTGCAGGTCCACTGCTTGAGCCACATGGAGTTGCTGATAGCACATAAGGGTTCTGTTCACAACACCAACCATAGTGCATTTGTATTATAACGAAATGTTACAGAAATAGGCATAAACAAAACCGGTTACAAACTTTTGTTAAAAAAATAATAGAATTGTCAGCATTACATAGACAATAATCAGTAAATAAACCACAGTTTAGTGCCCTTTATTGTCTGTTTAGTGTCCCTATAATTCTATTTGATTAGAAGTTTGTAACCGGTTTTATTTGTGCATAGTTTGAGTAAAAACTTTGAGTTCACAAGCATTACAAACTTTTAATAAATAAAAAAATAGAATCGCCAACATTACACAGACAATTATCCGTGCCTTTTATTGTCTGTTTAGGGTCCTTACAATTTTATTTTGTTTTAAAAATTTGTAACCAGTTCTGTTTGTGCATAGTTTGAATCAAAACTCAGAGTTCACAAGCATTTGACAAGAACTTCATACTGACCTTTCCTTGGCCACCTCTGGGACTCCAACCAGCAGGTGCTGCAAGAGACCTAAAGTGAGCCCACTCACTCAAGCTAGCCTTCCCCAATATGATGGCACCGGCATTCCTCAACCTGGTCACCACGCCAGCATCCCGAGGCACCACGGAACCAAGCAGCGCAAACGAGCCAGCAGTCGTGTTCAGCTTATCTTTCGTTCCAATGTTGTCCTTGAGCAAAACCGGAATGCCATGCAACCCAGAGTAATAATTGGGGCCCTTACTCTTTCGCTGATAGTCGGCCTTATCAGCTTGGTAAAGCACGTCCGGGTTGACCTCTATGACGGCGCTGAGGAGAGGGTTGAGCCGGCGGATTTCTTGAAGGTAGAACTCAACAAGTTTTCTTGAAGTGAGTTGGTTTTGTTTGAAAGCTTGTTGGAGGTCAGAGATTGTAGCTTCTTTAATATAGAACCCATGGACATACAAAGTTTGGGAACCAAATGAAGTTAAAGACAGAAGAATCACGAGCAACAACGGAAGTTTTGTGGCCATGGAAAGGCAATGGAGTAGCAGATTGCTGAGGCAAGTAATTTGCCTAGTTTCTTGATCTGGAATTCATTTAAATAAACAAAAACTTTGGACCAACTGGCAATTTAATTAATCCCAATTTGGCATGGTTTATTTTTTAAATACATGCTAAGACTGAGTCAAATACATTGTGCAGTCAAATACAACAACAAAATTAGCAGAAAAAAGGCTAAGAGCATATGGAATTGAATCAACAATGGGCGAAATTCTGCGGCGTTGCCGGAAGAAGACATAGTCCAGATAAATGCAGACACGGTTTTTAGCATTATATTTTTTGCTAGACACTTGTTTTATGACCAATTCAGAGCCTTGGCCGTCCCAATTCCAGTAGATGTAACTTCTACTGCTTAATTGTTTGTGTTTGGGATTGTCTTGTATTTTCGCACGCGTTTGGGCAAAATGGATAATAGGGTTTTGATACATCAACAAATTGTAGGTGGAATCTGTGACTTGATACTACACACATCAGAACAACTTGCAGAACCAGACACTGATTGTTCATGAGCCGCATAATTTTTGTTTTGTTTGCTGTAAACATGATTGTGAACTTTACCGTTTGGAGGGTCAAGCATCCTTATTGAGCCCCTCACGTCGACTGTGTTCTTGCAAGGGACTGTGTTCGAGGTGTTCTCGAGTGGCTAGGCGGGGTCTTTCTTCAGATGTGGTGAAGGTGGATTTCGAGGACTCAACTTCAGGAGTGACGTTGGCAGTGTTGGACATAAATTTGGTCTGAGAACCAACAGGTGGTGGCTTCCTGATCTTAGTTGCTTGCTCATATGCGTACGCGGCCTCAATCAGCTTTGGCTCCGAACCCTTTAGTCCCCCAAAGCAAATGCCAAATGGGTACTTTTCAGTGTCATGATATCCTGCCGGCACAACAATGCCAGGAAAACCACCAACTCCGAGGATTGAATGAGCAGAGTTGGAATAAGTTACCAAGGCATCTACGCTCTCATCTTTCATCAACTTCTCAAATCCATCTCTAGACAATTTTGCTAAATTTGACAATATTTCTTGCTCTTTTGCTCCTATACCGTTAGTCTTCTCAGCCGCTTCTAAGAGATGTTGTCCATATTCACTTACTTTTCCTGCAAATGACCATTTAGTTTCACTCGTAATTTGTTCGTCCATGGTTATCAAATGCACTTAGTTTAAACTTGTTTGCACACAATATTTTGGGATAACAAAATGACGAAGACGTCAATGCATAAACAAAGAGTCTTGTAGTCAGTACTCATACTCACCAAAACTGAGTTATTCTTGTTGAATGCTATCACGTCTCTCAAGCTTCTCACCGGAGACTCAACTAGTTTACTTAGGTATGGGTTCAAGGCCATTTTGAATTCCGCTAATATTGCTACAAGTTCACCGCTCAAAGAGGAATCCAGTATATCTTCAATATTGGCTATGTCGAGATTCTCAACCAAAACTGCACCTTGTTTCCTACATTGCAGCAAGTAATAGTATATCATATTTATAGACTAGAAAATGCACAGAAATTGTTTTCTGTTACCTCAGTGTGGTAAAGCGCTGCTCAAAAGTTTGATTCAAGAACTGATCGTCCTTGACTTGACTAAACAAGCGACTTACTATCCCCAATCTCTTTCCTTTGAGACCATTAGCCCTGAGAAACTGTCCATAGCCACCCACCGGAATGTACTGTGAGGCTTCATTTGTAGCAATATCGTTGCTATCAATGCCGACAATAGCATCCAGGACATGAACAGAATCAGCTACAGTCCTACAGATTGGCCTGTTCCAAGTTCCAAATGATAACTTTGTTACTCTCAGTTTTGAGTTAATCAGATAAATTAGATGTTACTATTGATGAATTAATACAAAATACCAGAGCAACGGAAAGTGTAAATGTACGATCAAACTGCAAAACTTCAGGCACAGAGTAAATTTGCTAGATAACAATAAGCATCACGTACCCAACTGTGTCCTGTCTTGGACTGACTGGGACAACTCCAGCTCGACTAGTGAGACCAACGGTTGGCTTGAAGCCTACTACCGAGTTATAACTGGACGGACAGAAGATAGAGCTGTCAGTCTCTGCCCCTAGAGCCACAGCTACCATATTTGCAGATACATATATTGCTGGCCCACTACTTGATCCACAAGCTTCCAGTGATGGATTATAAGGATTCTGCATATCAAAACAAAATCACGAGTTTGATTCTAGTTCATTCCAAATTCGTTTATTAAATCCACAGATGAAGTACAATTTAGATACTGATCCATGCATACCACACCCAAATTTCACAAAAACGGAAATCACATTTACTAATCACAACTCTTAAACAAAACACAGAAACGTTCTAAAGGAGATCACTACTCGGTGCAAACACTAATTTAGCAAAACATATCACTAGTTTTCGGCATTGTGAACAACCAACTATGAGTATAAACAACACTACTTGATACTGAACAAACCTCGAAGCTTTATAATGCTACTGCATAGATATATCATGTGTTAAAGTTTCAGAAACGGTTAAGTGGGCCACCACTAATCACACCGATATCGTATAACATTTAAGGAGCTGGTAATCAAGTCTAAGTAGAACTCACCACACCTTGGCCGCCTCTGGCACTCCATCCGTCCGGCGCAGAAAACGACCGGATGTGCAACCACTCGCTCAAGCTACCCTTTCCTAGAATAACAGCCCCAGAGCTCCTCAGCTTCGCCACAACCCCGGCATCCCTCGGAACTTTGGAACCCAACAGCGCAAACGACCCGGCCGTGGTGTTAAGCTTGTCCCTGGTTCCAATATTGTCCTTGAGTAGAATCGGAATCCCGTGCAGCTTCGGCAGCGGTCTGCTTCTGGCTGATGGGTTGGATTCCCATTCCCGGCGTTGTTCGTCGGCGGAATCGCCCTGGGAAAGCGCATCTGGGTTCACCTCCAGGACCCCTCTGAGGTGGCCGTTGAGGGTCTGGATTTTTTCCAGGTAGAACTGAACCAGTTGACGTGAAGTCAGAGTCTTGACCTTGAAAGCAAGCTCGAGGTCGTCAATGGTGGATTCTTCGATTGGGGTTTTGAGTGGTTCGGTTTCGAACCCATTTGAGATTTGGGGTTCAATTATAAGCAGAAACGAGAGGAGAGAGGAGAGAGCAGCCATTGTTTAAAATTCATAATTTTTTTTATATTTCATTTTGTTTAGGGATATGCTTTCTACACAACCCTTTTTAATTCTCACATCATTTTTGTTAATTTATGTCCGTAGATCTTTTTCAATTCATTCGATCCGACGATCGAAAATCAAAAAGATATGGAAGAAGTAAAAATGGATGTGTGGATATCACATCCCTTTGTTTATTATTCTGCAAAGAAATCAAGTTTATTTATGCCCCTATTGCAAGCAATCGAGTTGAACAGTGACTCCGGCTCGACTAGTAAGACCAACAGTTGGTTTGAAGCCTACTACCGAGTATCAGATGACAATATAAAAAGTAGTCTAACCTCATGTATAACACATGGCAACAAACAGGGTGCGTAAAGCATATCTCGTGGACCAACCTACTCTGATAGAGTGAAGAAAATTAAAGACCTACTATAAAACCAATTGATAAGATGAGAAGTGGTCAAACCTCTTGTAAGTTCATGCAAGGTCACTATTCCCGTGGGATCTATTCTCAACAAAACAGAAGATGAAGCCGTCTGTCTCTGTCACTAGAGCCACAGCTACCGTATTTGCAGATACAGATATTGTTGGTCCGCTACTTATCCACAAACTCTCAGTGACGAATTATAAGGATTCTGCAATAATGCTGCTATAACCAATCAAAAGTGGCTCTAAAGCTTCAAACCTTTAAGTAAAGGAGGCTTCCTAATCTTTAGTTCCTTGCTCAAAGCCATATGCCATCTCAATTAGCTTTGGCTCCCAACCCTTTAGGCCTCAGCTCCCCAAAGGAAAGGCCACCTGGTACCCCATCATCATATCCTGCTGGGACAATCAAACCAGGGGAGCCGCTAATCGCAACCAATGGCGACACGCCTTGAACAGGAGCCGCCACGGCATCTATATATATATATATAGGAATAGGATCCGAAAGGAGAAAGGTACCAAAAACAGCTAAGAGAGTGTAAATAATTTCTCTGTGATCTCTTTCTGTGAAAATCTTTCTTCTTTTTTTGTGGGGTAGTTATTGTTCCTTGGCATGCCCATTGTATCAACCATGTGTGTCACATTGTTGACATTGGTGTGGAGATGAGTATATTTCATTGTCAATTGATTAATTTTGAGTTCGATGCTCTAATTCTACATCCTTCGGAGCGAATTGACAGAAAACTCAAAAGTGTACGAAAAAATAAATAGTTAAGACCACAAGTAGACATGTTGATAATCTCAAGACATTATGTCGCCGATTTATGGTTGTGGCAGCTTCATTTGATAAACAAGTTTGATGCCTTACTGTTACTATCAAATTATTAATAATGTCTCATCACCATAGTGTAGAATCATCCTTTGTTTCATTAAAGAAAATGTATTTAACTCGCACCTTCCTAAACTTGGGCCCACCAACCACCGCAAACTCCAGCTCAACCTCCGTTACCGGGTTTCTTGAAAGTAGACTGATGGAGCTGCCATTGAACTGGCCACTAGTAAACCCAAAGTTAAGGTAAGCCACAAGCATCAGTTCCTCGTTTACCCGTAAACACATATGCACCTGAAGAGACTAGAGTTCCCAATAACTGTGAAGGTTTCTCCGTCGATGAGTCGTCCATGACTCATCGGGGTCGACCCGGCCCCAAAATTTAAAAATGCCCGATGGGCGCTGCCAGAGCCTGACCAAGCCCAATGACGAATCGTGCTTGGTATGTAGTTTGCCTTCACATTCACCATCCTAATGGACACCAACCTTCGAACCCGGAACCGAGAGGAATAATGCTTGGCACATATCCACTAGGTTCGGAGGAAGGCCGGTTACTTGTTATGTAGTAATTGTTCTGTTTTTACATTTTGCATTCAAGTGTTTGCTCTTTCTTATGAGTCTACAACTTTAAATTTGTAATTAATTATAAAATTTGGATGATGGATGAACTACAACTCGTTAACTCAAAATATAGATGAAGATGAACTATTGTTCAAATAAAATACATAAAAACGTCTTGTGCATATCATAATACACAAGAGATTATAGTTTCAGCAGCAAAGCCTTTTAACTCTATACTCATAATTAGAGTTCGACTCTCAGCCTCCCTCTCTCTAGAATAAAAAATACATAATCGTAGCTTAAGATAAACATAGAAAGAAGCTTAAACATAAATCACTTGCAAGCAGTAAATTTGCAAGGGACTTTCCCATAACCTGAATTAGCCCTAATGAACCTCAGTCCTGTGAGGAGGACATTTTTGTTGGAGCCAATCAAGCCCCAATTCAAATGCTGAACCACAGCAATTGAATTATAAGGATATTGAAGACTGTTGTAGGAGTTGAGAAGGGCGGTAATCCCTTCCCTTAGGAGTGTCCTATAAGGGTCTCCTCTTCCTTGTAGGCCTTGCCACAATGTTAGGTCAGTCCCATATCTCCTAGCGGCCAGCGGTCCGAAAATAACGGCTACCTTGGTGTTCGGGTTCACAGCCCTCCAGTAGCAGTTGTGCTCCCGCAATGTCCACTGCCTGAGAGATCACGATCCAATCAAATAGTCAGCTTTTTTTCATTGGTAAAAAGGAGAGGAGGGATTCAAACTTGAAATTTGTTTCATTATTGGGAATACATGTATCACTCTATCAAGAGTTAGTTGGTAACTATAATACAGTTATGTGTAACGTATTACATCATAGTAAACTTTATATTTTGTGTTTTTACGGAGCAACAAATCTAAATTATTCGGTGTTTGATGTGCTAAAGAACCTTAAAACTTCTTACAGAACTACAGTATATTTCTACAGTCTAGTACAACTTAGTCAATTGAACGGTAAAAGTCGTTCCTACTTGCTTCGTAAATGATAGATTGACACAATCCTATACGGCTTACTTAATGAATAACTTACTGATGTGGGCATGCTGTAGCTTCCACGAAGGGCATTGGTGGCATTGGAGGCAATGAGGGCAGTGGTGGCAGTGGGGGCAATCGAGGCATTGGGGGAAGCCTAAAAGGCGGAGGGATCCAAGGCGTCACTGGTTTAGGCGGAGGGCTAGCCGGCGTTACTGGTTTAGGCAGAGGGTTAGTTGGCGCTACTGGTATAGGCGGAGGGTTAACCGGCGTTACGGGTGCAGGCACAGGATTATAAGATGACTTAGGGCAAAAAGACATAGGCTGAGCAGGCTGAGTGAGCAAAGAGTCGACGGCATACATCTCCATGTCAAACATCCTAAACATAAGTTTAAGACTTTGAGCAGGACCGGCACTAACCACACAGCCACTACCTGTGCTTGAAGAAACCTGAGCATAACAACCACTCAAGTCTGGTGTCCCATCAAACTTGATGGCATAGTTTCCGAACAAATTTGTAGTCTCCTCCCTTGACATTGTGATCTGCCCATTACTGTCACTACATGCCACTTGCACCTTAACTCCTGAAAAAATCAAAGCATATAAGTTTAGCATTAAGAATCTAAATAGAGAATGTGATTCAACTACCACGAAAATTACATAAATTTTATCCTTCTGTACACTTCTATATACACGCGTCCCCTTAGCGAGCGTGCATAAATAATTTTCCTAGCTAAAACGGGGACCGATCTTATACCGGTTATCCCATTTTGGAGTAGCCTCTTGATTGTGTGAAGTATGTTTGCTTGATGATGAGATTGCAGCGAGGCTCGGTCTAGATTGATTGTTTCTTAGTTTCTTTCGGCTTCAAACACCGAAAATAAATTTAAAAAGAGAATGTAGTACAAGGAATCAGAGAATAGGGAACTCACCATAGATGGGGTAATCAAAGAGGGATATTTCACCATCTTTGCATTGGTCACAGAAGACAGTGCCACTCACCATTGTATTTGCCTGAGCTCCATCAATGACTGCACACAAAACCAGAATTGCTGCCAAAATTAAATTCTCCGGCCAATCCATGAGAGAGAGAGAAGGTTGTTGGTGTAGAAGAACGTGAAGAACTACAATACAATAGCAATAGTGAGAAGAAGAAGGCAAAGGCTTATATTTCCAACTCTCAACTGCCAATATTTATGCAGGCCGTCTCTAACATTTTGGAGGCTCGTGCGAAATAAAGTGACCCTCCTTATTTAAAAATAATAATAAATAAAAATTAAACAATATATTCGTACAGAGTTGAACAATAAATATTCAAATTTAATTGAAATCAACATCTCATTCTTATTAATTGAATAATCTCCAATTGTCATGACATTATGATTTATGGTTCATCTATGAAAAAAAATGGAGCACGAATGAAAGATTGATACAGAAATACGCTTGTAATTGTAGAAGAAAGTATTACACAAGTTAGTTTTTTTATTACTAAAGAAAAGTGAAAGAAAATAATACACTAGTTTTTCTATTGCTAGAGAAATGTTTAAGTATAAGCTCCACTTAATCAATTGATAATAAAGAAAACTAACGAAAACTCCAAAAAAACTTTAGTTTTAATGAAAAATGACAAATAAATGTGTAGTGAATAGTATCAAAGAAAGGTAAAAATATGATTTTTCGTTAAAAGTGAACAGTATCGGAAGTGTTTCGTTAAAACTTCCTTGATAATATCATATGATGATGATTTTTCTTTTTAATAAAAAAAATTTCATTGTAAAATTTATACATTTGTGAAATATAGGAGGGTCAAAATTTTGGGACCCTCTATCACTGCACTTTTTACACATCCCCAACGTCCCTTGTATTTATGGTGTGTGGAAAGGGAAAACTATTTTCAAACTAGGAGGGACAAGTACAGATTGCAGAGCTACATTTAAGGCTTGGTAGTAATTGCCCAATATCCTTGGTTTCATTACAACTACTGTTGGAATCACGAGTGTGACACCGACAATTGATGGCCTAAATCATCTAGATCTACAAATTTAGAAGTTGAGACTTCTCTAAACTTTGATTGAAAATCACAAGTGGTACTTGCGGTTTACGGTAATTAGTAAATTTGAATGTTGATTGTAATTTTATCAATTTTATGCTTACGGTATACTTCTGATGCTAGTTTTGATTTAAATGTTTATTGTCGATGATTTGTATAACTTCACATCCACATGTATCAAATCCATGCGCATGACTTCCAAATTAATGTACTAATGAAATCTAAGACCCGTCGTAAACTTAACTGGTTACTTCCAGTTACGCAAGTCAACAATGGAACCCGCTGCATTCTCAATCTGGGGTTCAACTAAAGTTGATGGTAGAAGTACATTATATATGAGTAAATGTTGTTAATTTTGACAATTAGCAAAAAAAAAAAAAAAAAAAAAAAAAGGGAGTTTTAACTCTTCTGGACTGTTTATTTTTAACGAAAAACTACATTTTTACGTTTTACTGGCACTATTCACTATACCTTTAAAAATAAGGAAAACTAATGAAAATGGCTGGAAAACTTTGAGTTTTAATGATAAGGACAAAATAAAGGATAAAGTGAATAGTATCAGGATTGACTTTTTAGTGTAAAAATGTGGTTTTTCGTTAAAATGAACAGTACCGGATGCTTTTCGTTAAAGTTTCCTTAAAAATTACACTAGCCGGTGGGCTGACATTTTAGTTTAAGAGTCACTCAATACATGGACATTGAATTCACATTGAGAGAGACCAAAAAAAAGGTCCGTATGTTGGAAGTATTAAGAGACGTGGGTCGGTTTGCTGCCAGATATAGACATGAATTTCAAGCCCCTGCTGGTCGTTGGATGGAGGGTATTAGTTGGCCGTCAAAGTAGCAACACACATTCATGAGAGAGAGAGAGAGAGAGAGAGAGAGAGAGAGAGAGAGAGGGAGGGAGAGAGAGGGTGTGGTGAATTGCAAGGCCAGCAACTACAGAGAATGGGATTTCTTCTTTAATGTCTTTCAACTGCACCTCCTCATACGTCTGCAAAAGATATGGGCTTTCTCTTCGGTATGTCTATTTGATGGCTAGGGCACATGGAGAAGGTGAACTTTTCATTTGATGTCCATGTCTCAGTTCTTTTCTAGACAGGACGTCGTTCTTGTGTCGGAAAAGCTGGAGTTGACAAAATTTTCTAGATGTGTCTGCCTTTTAAGAAAAAATAGACGTCATGCATAGAAAATCTCTACTCTTCAAATTCGCTCCGTTTAGGTTTAGATATCAATTACGTGAACCAAAAGTTTTCGTTATAGCAGCAGAACAAATGCATGAACAATGTTTTATTTTTTTTAGTACATAGATATTTTTATACTAAGGGAAGAGGGAGTTCGTTTAGGCCAAACAATGGGCAGCCAAATTTGGTATCGAATTCGCCATCCACGAAATTCAAACTTAAGACATCTTATTTCCAAGTAAAGAGAAAGACCGAGTCTGGCCAAATAAGAAAATGATTTCAAACATCTTTCTCAGAATAAAGCATACAATACTTGCCCTGGCCCCTAGTGTATGACTCCACCCCTGCCAATACATTACATTTCATTCAATCAGAATGTCAACTTGCTATACTTTACTCGAAACTACCATGCATTCCATGGAGGTAAAAAATCGGGTGATTCACAAGGCATTAAACTTCACAAAACACTAACACTGCAAAATTGCAAATAAACGAACAATCAACACACCCTCTTCCAGTATTGTCTACCTATTCAGCTCACACCAAGCCTACACATTCAGCAACATATCGATCACACCGTAACGCACAAAGTTATACTGCATCCGCGTAAAAGCAATGAAAAAGTTATACAGATAACATACGAAGAATCGTGAATCATCAAATGCACAACACATGAACATCTAGATTTACTTGATCACAAATTTAAACCAAATTCAGCAACCGCGCACAAGCGCTCAACAAATGTGGGAACCAAGAATTCAGGGTCAAAAATAATAATTAGAGTAACAGTAGTTCTCAATCTTAAATACAAGATACAAACAAATCCTAAGAGCAAAACTAGTATAACTGTTTAAAAAAGCCTACAAAAATCGTCTCAAGTTCAACGTGTAACAGTCACATCCGAGAGCATAAATTATAAAAACTGAAAATTCAACAGCGTCGTGGATCCAACATCTCAAGTAACCTTAAATCTTTTCCCATGGCTTACACCAAACCTGCAAAACCTCCTCTTCAATTCTCATCAACATGCTCATTCTCTGGTTTATCTGGTTCAACATGGCCCTCTGGTTCCTCAGAGTTGCTCTTAGTCTCACTTTTATCAGCACTGCACCCAAATGAAACAATGAGGATCAAAGTTTTAATAAAAATCTGCAAATAGCAAACACGTAGTTTGAAGGACATGCAATTGCACAGTGACACGTTACAAAGTTGAAACTAACGGAGGAGGAATGCATGGTTGCATGAGCCTTAAACTTTAAATGATTCCATTCAAGGTAGCTATATCCTTCTAGCCCAATATTCACAAATTAGCAAATACTTGCAACTGCAAGTAGTGCATAAAACACCTTCTTTCTTTGTGCAGTTGCCGGGATAGGGAGCTAAGTGTGTGAGTGTGTGTGTTCAAACAGAAGGATAAACATCTATGGATCACTGCTTGGCCTTCGAAATATGTAATAAGGTAAAAAATGAAAAAGAAGGGTGCTTTAAAAAAATACATTACAGGAGGGACCAGTAAAGAGATAATAGTGCCCTTACTTTAAGTTTTTCTACATGAGACAGATAATGACAAAGTGGATTGCAAACCACCAAGTTCGTAAAACTCTACCAATTAATAAGATAATAAGATAGCGAGCAATGGTCAGCCAAGTAAAATTCTTTTGAATACAGAAGCAGCGTTCAGAGTTCGAAAAGCTTCATTTGAACATAGATGTGTGCATCAATGCCCAACAACTTCCCACAAGGTTCATAGAGCTAACCTAAACAATCCCTATATACAAAGAAAAACTGAAAGACCCAGCACACACAACACACAACTAATATGCTAATTCACTGTTCCATCAAGCACCATTTCCCAAAAACTCATTCAAAAAATTCCAACAGCAATGCATTGCTAACATGCAATCAAAATCAACATGCAAGTACCGAAAGGATCAACTTTACAACTAAGCATCCTAACTACGAGTATTTGAAGTTCCCAATCGATCATATTACTAAAACAACATACCTCTGGGGGCGTGAATCAGGCTTCCTCCAAGCTCTCTCAGTTCGATCACCAGCACGCCCATTTCCCATCCCAAAACTCCTCCTCCCTAACGACTCGCTGTTAGCTATCTCCGCCACCTCCTTAATCTTAGCAGACTCAAGCTGCTCATCAATCTCCTTCCAGTCCTTCCCTTTCTCCGCCAACACCTCCTCCCTCGGCCTTGCTGCACCAAATGGGTTCGAGCCCTTGGGCTTCGGTGCAGTGGCCGACCCTGGTGAGGTCTCGTTGCTCACAGGCAAAGTCCTAGGCTGCAAATTGAGCCTCGGCCTCGCAGTACTCTCATTAAGACCACCATTACTCTCCCCCCTCTTCTTCCCCCACACATCAGAATCCGCACCACCGCCATTGGACACGTACCCAACCTTCCTCTCTCGATCAAATCCAGACCCACCATTAGTCTCCTCCTTCTTCCTCCCCCAATTATCAGAATCAGCACCTCCATTAGACGGGAACCCTACTTTCCTCTCCCGATCAAACCCGCCACCGCCAAATCTCCGTCCCTCCGACGGCATGGAGCTCTTATTCGACACCCAGCTGTCGGATTCATCAGCCTTCGACTGTGACCCACCCAAAAAACTACCTCCTCCTCCTCTCTCCCTCCTCTCAAAGGAATTTCCCGGCATCGATTTCTTCGCGGCGCCCCAATCATCAACCTCATCCGCCCTCGAAGGTTCATCTCGATTCGATTCCTTCCCAAACCCACCTTCCTTCCTCTGACCCCACTTCGAATCCGACGACTCGTCACCGTTGGAATACCTGCTGTTTCCCCGATCGCCCCCATAAGTCTTGAACCCGCCGCCGAGCCGATTCCGATCAAGCTCCTCGGCCGTTCGCTCGCGCGGACCGGTCGGCAAAAGCATCCGGTCCTCGTGGGTCAGGCCCACGGGATGCTCC